TTGCCACTAGTTATTAAATTCAACGCTCGCTGCAGTCCTTTCAAATAAATTATGTTTTCTGATGAGATGCTGAAAAATATGAACGGACTTCAGTGGTGGCTATCACCGAAAGATGAACCGGAAATTGCGAAACACTTGCCCACTATAAAACAGTTTCTTTGTGCAACTGCATCGTCTGCGTCTGTCGAAAGGATGTTCAGCACATTCGGATTTGTTCATTCGGATATCAGGAACAGATTGGGAATCGAAAAAGGAGGGAAATTGGTGTTCCTCTTCAGACTTTATAACGAAAATGAAAAGAAAGAGAAGTGATTTCCGTTTTAGTATTATTGAGTTTACCATTAATACCGTTTAATTTTTAAGTTCACATGTACCGTTTTCTATTTTGATTTTCATTGCTTAGAATGATTTGTGTTCTGTTTTATATTTTTTGAGTGGAAATATAAAGTTTCTTGAAAAAACGAACTTTGATTTAAATCGTGATTTTTTCCAAAAAAGTCAGGTGATTTAAATCACGATTTAAATCACTTGAAAAAAATCAAGCCAACCCTGGGCACCCTGTACAAGTATTTACGCGGTTCTCACTCAAACAGGTACCGAAAGACCGACTTTCGCGTGATAGTCAACGGCCGCATTCAACAATCCGAAATTGGTACTGATGAGGAACAGGAAAGAGCTGTGAGGGCCGTGCTCAGACACCCAAACTTCCAGTCAGGCACACTTTACAACGACGTGGCAGTTTTGGTACTGGAAGAACCCTACAATCTAACGGCTACGCCCACCATCAACACCGTTTGCCTGCACCCCAATGCCTCCTATGTGGGCAAACGGTGTGTGGTGGCGGGATGGGGCGAAGCCTCTAAAGGTTTGCCCAGTTCAACAGCCAGAACCTCCGTGCCTATCCTGAGGAAAGTGGAGTTGCCCACCCACAGCCCCAACAAGTGCGAGGAAATGTTGCAAAAAACCTACCTGGGCGCCAAGTACCAGCTTCATGAGTCGTTCATGTGCGCAGGAGGCGAAGCCGGCAAAGACGCCTGTCGAGGTAAGTGGCACGAGTGCTTCCGATCTTTTCGCAGCCAATCAGGTTTTGTTCCAGGCGACGGAGGCAGCCCATTGGTGTGCGCCACAGCCCCCAACGAGACTGCGCTCTATCAGGCGGGCATTGTAGCCTTCGGGGTTGGTTGTGGCAAAGAGGGCATCCCGGGCGTGTACGCAGACGCAACTCACTTCTACCAATGGATAGTTGACACGTTGCAGAAACTCAACATTACACTGTGATTGTTTTCCAGTTACTAAGCATTGCATCATCAGCACGCATGGTCTGAGCCAAGCTATTTATTGGCAGTTACGTCATTGTTTCAGGCGCTTTATTGTTTCCAATATATTTTGTTGAATCTGATATTATAGTACGATCTTTGAAACAAAAAAGTGCACAACTTAACGCGCTATCACTGGTTTCTTAATCCCACCCAGCAACTAAGAGCTTAAATCTCCGCCTCGTTCGGTGGCCAGTATAATGGAAAAAGAACGGGAAACTTTATTTTATTAGAATCGCTTGTGCAGAAACCAGCCTACCCTAATGCGGTGCAATCAAGTTTGTTTTTGACTTCTTGGGCGATTAACTCTGCGATGGACATGCAGCTGGTGGCGGCCGGACTGGGAGTGAACTTCAAATTGACCACTCGCTGTCTCACTCCAGTGCCTCTGAACATCTCAAAGACAAAATCGTCCACAAAACTGCCGTCTAGATTCACTAGCTGGCACTGAACGGCCGAAGGCCCCTTTTCAGCGAACTGATAGGAGAAGTTTGGCATCAACTTCTGCAGCTCTTTGATCTGGAATCTTGCCTAAATCCAGCGCTGCGCCCTCAAATGGGGACTCACCTGGACGTCTGGACACAGAGCCTTGCTGGCTTGATGAACGCACTTTGAGAAGTTGCGCCGCACCATGTTGCGGAAGTTGCACGATCCAAGCACTTGGGCCAGATAGGGCATGTTGATTTCGTCATTGCTGCAAAGTGCTCACCATTCAGCAGCGAGAACACGAAGCTCCACCATCCAGCTCACCTATAGCCTTCGAGTTTGAGTGCAGGCACTGCCCATGGCCCCAGCAGGACGTTGCCGTCAGACTGGGGGCTGAAGTGCGCCCCCAGGAATGGAGCCCCCCAATCCGGCACTGGGTAAACGTTCGTCGAAAGGTGGTCGCAGTACTTGGCCGCCACCCTCAGATAATCCACCTTCAAGGAAATCAGCTGAGGGCTGGATTTTGGGGGCTCACCCTCCACCCAATGGGTGAGGCGGGCGGCTTGCAGCCCACCACATAGAATGGCGAATTTGGCCCCAATTGTCTCCCCATGTTCACGCGTTAGTTCTAACGGGTACTCGCAGTTGCAGGACTGTCTGAGGCCCACTATCTGCAGCGCGCAAAGTGGGGATTTAAACAACGTCCCAAGTACAGCATTATAAGATGGCTTTAAAATCCCCAGAACATCCGGAATATAACGTTCCTAAGTTCTGTGCTCTGGCATTATCCGCGGAACATTTCCTGGACCTCTCATACCCAGATAGCACACAAATATTACAGTAATATTTTTTTGCAATATTTAATATCGGTTGAAGCGACAGATTCTTGAATATTATAACAATATTTCTTATAAATATTTCTTTGATTGATTAAATCAGATATTTGGGAAATAGTATTTAAAAATATATATTTTACATTTAAATCAGATATTTACGAAATATTTTTTTGCAATATTTAATATAGGTTGACGCCATAGATTCTTATATATTATAAAAATATTTCTTGTAAATATTTATTTGACATTTAAATCAAATATTTATGACATATTTGTTTTAAATATATATTTGGCATTTAAATCAGATATTTAAGAAATATTTTTTTGCAATATTTCATGTAGGTCTGACGCGACAGATTTTTATATATTGACCAATAAAAATTGAGATAATATGTTCTAGAGTTTGTTCACACTTATTAAAAATAATATATTAATAACTTTTTGCGTGTTAGTGGTGTTATATATAGACACAAAAAGTATTACGTACTAAGAAAACCTATTATTATTTTATTTATTTCACGCTAATTAAATATTAGAAACAAATATTTTTTATAGAATGTTTAAATAACATTTGAAAAATATTTCTTTTCGCTCTGAAATATATTCTATTCACTGATCAATGAAAACTCAGATCATAAGTTCTAAAGTTTATTCATATTTATTAAAAATATAATATTAGTAACTTTTTGGGTGTTAGTGGTGT